CATGGAAGAGAGGGAGAAAGATATGGATAACATTTTTTTTTTCGTTCCGATGGGGGGATTAAGTAGCTATCTATTGGATTTTCAATGATATCAGAATGTCTTAACAGCTCAGTATCTGATGGCACGGAGGAAACATTAAAAAACTAGAGGTACATTGGAATTCCAAAACTTACTTGTGGATTAATATTTTAATAAATTAAAAATTAAAAAGAAAACTGAATAATTCTAAAACATAGTTAATAACAATTAATGGTTTCGCATGTTTGGGGATTCTTGGCGTGAACAAAATTCTCAAAACACTTCTGACAAAGAAGTGAATATCAATTATAAGATTGTAATTGCTCATGATGCCTAGTTAGACATTAAGATTAACAGGTATATATATATATATATATATTGTTTTACTTAAGCTGCTGGTGTTGTAGCTTTATATGAGGGGACTCTTCATTATGTAGTGCTAAATCTTTCGGTAAATAATTCTAATTTTTCTGGAAAAAAAAAGAATAGTGTTTCTCTATTATTGACCCTACTATAACTCTTTTAGGCGGAACTAAATTCAATGTGTCAAATTATATGTGCTTGTTGCGAATCCTTCGTGAGTGTGTGAACTTTTGTAAAGATATATGTTGATTTTTCGATATTGTTGGTGTTCTCAGTGTTTTCCAAAATAAATAGCGCTGCGTTACTTTTCACCTCGTTAGTTTATTCGAATAATTCTTTTTTTTTTGGCTTAGATATTTCGACAATTTTTTTTTAGATTAAATAAAGGCAGTGTTTAGTTTTCTATACCTTTTAACATTTGACCAAAGATGTTGTCGATTGTATGACTAAGAAGCCTTCTTTCTTGTGTATTAGAGGGGAGAAACTTTACAGTGTCACGTGTTCTTAATTAACTAATGATTAAATATATTATGGCTGCTTATCAAATAGTAATTCAAAACTATTGAGTCACAAGATCTAAAGAGGAAATACGTGCCTATCTTAGCTGGTTTATAAAAGTCTAGTAGCACAACGAAAACTATTACGAATATGCCATTGCACAAAACGAATTTCTGGTTTTGTTTTCTAGTAAGATGTATATAATATATAAACAAACTGTGTTTTTTTTTAGTAGCTACAATAAACAGCACATTGTTAACTACATGAATCCAATTGGCTCAGTGGTAATTCTACAAGCATACGACGAAAAAATCGGGATTCGATACTCGTGGTGGGCAGATCACAGACAGACCATTCTGTAGCTTTGTGCTTAACAACCAAACAACCGTTAATTGCATTGGTAAAAGTTATTAATAACAGTATAGGAAATTTCAGTTCGGTTTCTATTCGATCAATATCACTTTTACAACGTGCATATTTAAACTATATTTCCAAATATATACACAAACTATATGTATTCTCTGTGGTAGCTTTCAAACACGGTTTACCCTTATATGCTAGCTATAATATATATCCAGTGGTTAAGTGTTTAGGCCTAAATGTTTCTTGAATACCCACTTCTGAAGACAGCATTATATTAGTCATGACTCTTGCAACTGTTTCATTTATATATACAATTAAATAATGAAGAACCGTAAAGTATTCAAGGTTTTTTGTGATACATAGCACGTATCCTTGTATATTAATTCCATCTAAGTATATATATATATATATATACATAAATACATAGTAAACATAAACTGTATATGTGTGTATAATCTTAAAAGCTCTTTTTTTTTGTAATCATAATTTCTTATATAAAATAGTAGAGATTTATGTCCTGTTACTTACAGTGCTAGTGTGAGCCACCACATGGGCTTCTCAAGGCTATTTTCTGTTCTTTTGAGACGTTGGATTCAATGGAATTTCGACAAACATATAAATAATGGATAAAATAACATTTATCTTGATTATGGGATGTTATTCTATTTTCCTTTTTTGTAAATTCTACTTAATTGCAATAAAGAAAATGATGATAACTTTACATATTTCGAATATAACGAAAGTAGCTGCTAAAACGTATTTTATTTGATTAAATCTCAAATATGACCTAAGAACTTCTGATTTGCATAAAACTTTTGTACAACGACATAACTTGTAGTATGAGCTTGGTTGATGAGAACCCAGTTAACATATTTAATATGTTGCTACTTATAATTTAAAAGTAATGTCAAATTACAGAAAGGTTACAAAAAAGACTTGTTAAGACAAAAAATAAGCCATTGACTTAATTTCCGAGAAAACAAATTGAGCGTGTAAAAAACTGTTTAAAGCTCTTGACAAAGTTCTGTCCAGTGCAGAGTGTGACCAAAAATCGAGTCAGAGTGACACTAACGAAGAAAGAGAGCAGTCTGCACGATAGATTTAACTCATCTTATTCATCCCTGCTTACTGTGGAATGTTACTAAGTCTTGAGTAAAACTTAAACTGACAAAGAAAGTTTCATACTGCAGAAGCCTAAAATAAAATGAATGCTAAAATGTGAACAGGCAAGCAATAGAGTCTTAAGTAGTTGAGAAGACAACATACCATAAAGTGTAGAGCTAGGCCTTTCAAGATTGCATGAGTTCTCGGAGGATTTTTCTTGCCTTATTGGGAAGGAAATAAACAAAATAAAAAGGCCCAGTTATCCATATGAACGTACAAAAGGTAATTATGTTGAAGGTTAACTTTCATCATTATGTACTTGCATAATCTTATTTGGAAGTATATGGGTTAATTTGTTGTAGAAACATTCGTTAAAAATGTGTCCTTACAAAAATATATTTATGGACAAACATCTTCCCTTTATGAAAAACATAACTTCAAATTCCAAAAATGGTATGTAGATTTTGAATAAATGGAAGCTTCAAAAGATGTGATACATAAAGAAGTATGTAGTGAGTCATTTACTCTTGTCAAAATATTAGAGCAGTTTCTTTCTATTTACGAAAAACATCACAATAAACTCGCGCGTTTGTGCAAATAGTATGGTGCATCCTAGCTTACGGTGCATTTTACAAAATCACTTTATCAGCCAATCTTAAGATGTAATATCCTAACTCCTGATAAAGACAAAATTACTTTATCAGTCAATCTTAAGATGTAACATCCTTCTCCTGATAAAGACAAAATCACTTTATCAGCTAATCTTAAGATGTAACATCCTACTCCTGATAAAGACAAAATTACTTTATCAGCCAATCTTAAGATGTAACATCCTAACTCCTGATAAAGACAAAATTACTTTATCAGCCAATCTTAAGATGTAACATCCTAACTCCTGATAAAGTCTGGATACTCTGATTCAAGATTTTTATCGTTGTGAAGTATTCAAAGCATTAGTTTTCGTTTCTATTTATTCTTTATAAATGTTTGCATGAAATTAGCTAAAGAAATGTGACCAAATAATTTTAGTTTGGGAGATTCGTCTCAAAAACGCATTTGTAAGTATTGGTTGGTGTATGTATTATTTTATCAGTATTATTATTATTCGTGGTCTTAGAAATCTATAGTGTAGGTATCTCCAAAGTTTTGAGTCTCGGCTTTGATGTAGATTTAGTAAGAAGAATTTGAATATTTTTCTGAAAATCAAAAGTACATTCAATGGAAACACTTCACTTATAAACTTCAACCACAGTAATTGCTTCAATGGCCATTTTAGCTCATATTAAATTAAAGTAATATCTGTTTAGTTTAGAGAAAAAAATATAA